CGTGAGACATTTTCCTTTCTAGTCAACAAAGTGATTAATGCCCTCGTGGGAAGTGCTTCTATGTGGCCAAAGAGGTATTAGAGATCTGTGTAAGCAATAAGCGTTACTTCAAGGGAGTTTTAGATTTTCATCATTCGAATACACATTTATCTTACAAAACTATTTTTTCAGTAAATGGCAACCCTGTGGCCGTGAGTTAGTCATTGTTTGAAGCAATTACGGAATCCCTCTGGTACAAAGAGACTGGACATTTAATCACGAGATAATATCATAACTGTCAACGGGACGGCGTCATGAAAACATGGCTACATCGATAGACTATTTGTCAAACACACATCTAATTTTTTAAAGGTGCGTCTTGGGAGCGATTATGTATTGCTTGAGGAACTTCAACGAACAGTCTGCTTTCAGGGATGGGATAGAAGAAACAAATCTACATCAGATATGTGTCACGATTACACATCCTATTAACATAGCTTGCTACTGGTATCCTTGAGTGTCGCTCTTTAAACATGCACAGAATGAACATCATTGACACCATCTTCAAAACAAGCTACACTGGAAATTGTTTACTGTCTTCAATTACATGCGCATATTGCAATAGTATGATTGATACACGGATGAAACACAACACGTAGATCATCACTGACATGATGTTTACACTGAGTGTTCTGTTACAAGACCTGTCCGTCCACTTGTGAGGCTTTTTTGGTCAGTAAGTGTGATCACCGTGTGCTCTTGTTACTGCTCTAAACCTCTTTGGCACAGACTGAAGGAGTCTATAGATTATGTCCGGAGGAATTATCATAAGTTGTTCCTCAGTACCTTGACCAGTTGGACGAGTATATGCGGCGTACGTTAACGTTGACCTACACCTGTCGAGTACAATGTTCAATTCGCATTCTAGACGTTGGTCGCTAAATATCGTTTCGATGTAGATTTATACACCTATAGCTTTAACGATATTAACGGTTAACAATCTACATCGATGTATCTGACTGACTGATTTTGGTTTTAGCAATATTCAAGCAACATCACGGCGGGGGACACCAGAAATGGGCTTCACACATTGTACCCATGTGGGTATTCGAACCCGGGTCTTCGACGTGACGAGCCAACGCTTTAATCACTTGGCAAAACACACACACACACACTACACACACACACACACACACACACACACACACACACACACACACACACACACACACACACACACACACACACACACACACACACACACACACACACACACACACACATCGATGTATGCAATAAACAAGAAGTTGTTATCCAAAAGTTGTATGCTTCCTTTATCGTGTTCACCCTATAATCTATTGGGTTCAGTTCCGGAGATCCTCCAAACGTTCAGTCTGACGTCCACAAGACGCTTTATTCCATCTCGACGTTGGAAAAGAAATCATCACTGAACGAGACTCGAGGTCAGTTCCTCAGCCAGTACAATGTTGCTCCATTGTATATGCAGTATTCTACTTTGAATTTCTTTTCCATGACAAGCCCGTGTAAGGTCATGGAAATGCTTTATAAAGCTGCAAACGTTCAAAACATTTTTGGCATTTCGGCGTTTAGCGAACACACGACTAATGGATGTTTATGCAAACATTGCTTTTTGTATTGCATGTGTCTTGGATAAACAAAATCAACATTCTCATTATTTCCAGTGTCTTTTTAGAACAGTGTATACATTGGTGCTGTCCACATCTGCACGTGTCACCATGTTAACCATTACCTTCGTATTTCGGATTATGGAAGTGAGCGAGGATGACTGAAAATCATGGATGACACCATAAGTAGCAGGGTACCCGCGTCTTGCTCCGTCAGTTGCTCGAGCTGTTTTGTTAGGTAGTAAAATGTGTCTGTGTTGGGTGATGCCTCACGAAGCCTCCTTTCACATTACGGCACTCGCTCTTAGTAGTAATCCGGTGGTGGTCAGTGGAAATGGGTGTCACGAACTGTACCCATGTGGGGAATCGAACTCAGACGTTGAATGGTAAACCCTTTAAGCGCCAGGCTATCCAGTTGGTCCCTGTTGAGTAGTGACAATTCTGATTTGTAACTTACTTATGTTCAGCCTCCCAGATTATGCCGTGAATGACAGGTTCTTTCAATTGCCTTGATTGGCAAAGGGCTTTGAAAGGAAAATGCATTCGTGACCTGGATCACGTCGAGCTATAAAATGGAATTGTTCCCAAGGATTGTTTTTTCTTATCTAATCACGTCTAGCTACTTTAATTTTTGTGGTTGTTGTGTCATTTCACCTTTGTTTAAAGCACTAGCTGAACGTGTAAGGTTTGATTGTTCAATGAGGTGTGTAAAGTGTGTAACAGATACAATAGACATTCCATCTTTATGTAAGCTTTCAGATCCAGGACATATCCAAATTTGAATCATAAATGTCAAAGAGTGATGTCTGATGCAAATCCCCATTTTCATTTTTGCCACACGTTTCCGACTGACTTTCCTTCGTGTGTTTGACAGGCAGCGCCAGGAGAGATGATAGGCTCAGCACCTCATGTACAACTGTTATCAACACCAGTTGATAGTGATTCTCAAAAACGATCTTATGGTATCGTCGAAATCGTATAAGATTAAATTTCTTAGGATTATTGAATGAGTCTGGGTACATATTTGTAATTATCACGTCCTACTAACAAAACCAGGGCGGATATGGGGACCCACCTTCATAAATCACACTCCTTCATGTTATAACTGGATCGACGTCTCCTCAAATTAACAATGTAGGAAGCTGTGTGTTATTCTGAGGCTGCTATGTGGGAGACGGTGTATAATTTATGATCAATGCTCCAGCATTCAACTTTACGTACTGCAGAAACTCAATTAGGGATGTCATTATGTTGTCGCATCTCAATACAAACACGTCCAGTGATTCAGATTGCGAAGAAATACATTCGAGGAACTCCTCTTAGTACCTGTTTGGGGGCAGTGGGTGTGTCGAAGGGGTCCAAAGCTTGGTGCATGTATGCTTTAAGACAAAATGAAATTTGTCTTCAGGAGCGCATCGGATGGAGTCTGTATGTGTTCTCACACTTAATCAACCATCGATCTACAATAATGATGTTCTTATTGGCACATGACCCAGGCTGCTAGATTGTTTCTGAGGGTGCGACATGGTACGTTGTGTGCAACCATTTCCTGTTTGTTTCATCTCTGTTTATCTTCCTGAACCATGCATCGTAACTATATACTTTCTACACTTTCGTAACTAAGACATTTTTTTAGACATGTGGAATCGATACCACGTCGAATCTCCAAAACCAACAGGATTTGCAGTCTCAGAAAAGGACCAATTTTAACGATGTCGAATTATGTCACTGAAATCTCTGTCTTCAAACGTTGAAAGCAATTTGTCAAAAATGGAAGTAAATGTGATCTATCTTTACTGAGGAAAATAGTATTGTGAAATGGTGGACTTATCATGGATAGCATCAAAGTGAAATTTGGAGATATGACATTTAGGCAAAAGGCTGACCTTCTCAAGAAAACTAAATGTGCTTCCGTTCTTCCTGATCTGATTCCTTATGATTACAGAATGGAAAAGTCAATTCAAGGCAATTTGGTCAAGAACGTCAAGTGCTATAATACGGTTAAGGTACGTTGATAATCTGATAACGTCAAATCGCCAATTTCCCACAGTGGTTTTCCCACCCACATGAGCTACAAATACACCACAGCAGTAAAATACACCTCATCTGGACAGATTCAGAGCCACTATCCACCAGGATGACCAAAAGGATGACTTCAGCTTTGCAATACTCAACTTTTCTTTTATATGAGTAATATTTCAACAACTCAAGCATTTAGTGTTTCTGTTAGACAACCTTGGAGATGAAGAATGATGACACTTGTTATGGATATACAACTTCTTTTATTCTGTGGAGGCGACGTTTCGACATAGATTCTAATGTCGTTGTCAAACAAGAATCAAGCATTAGAATCTATGTCGAAACGTCGCATCGTCAGAATAAAAGAACTCAACTTCTAAAATGCCCATCAAAGAAACCTTGGAGATATAACCGGGCATGCTCACAATAGTCAGTACGACGCGGTGTCTCATTTATGTGTTGACATCGCTAAATGGTTTGTACCGTAGGCGCTTTGTAATCTGATTATGGTAAGAAAAAGACTTATTGGATAGCTTATCAAGGCGTCCGGTGACCACGCCAGTGCTGAGGAGCCATGAGGCTTCGTCCTGATTCCTAGAAAACACGTCTAGAAGAACAACATTAATAAACACGGTGGAAATGTTCAGTATATAGTATCTATACATTACCATCATCGAGCATTTGGTTCTGTTATACAAAGCACAATACATGTGATGCCAACTTCGAAACAGGTCACAAACGATGGACAAAGTTACACTCACTGTCATGAAGACCTAGAGTACTCATGCCACAGAAATGATCTGATTATAGATGATCTATAATCGGTCAGAATTATCCGAAAAATATGTCACTGAGAGCAAAAGATAAATATAGTGGTTGACATTTAGTGAGTGGGTCAGTGACAATCAGCGAAGACACCAGGTGTTCGCGGCAGACTTAGTAATGCAAACATATAAAAATGTACAAAACATGCCTGTAAAAGTAACAACATGACAGGTATAGTTTCTTTAACATTTTATTGTAACAATAGTACAAAATGGAGCTGTCACAACGGTTAATGTGTAGCAAAATTAACAATACAATTATACAAGTTGTCATTGCGGTCTGGCGTACAATAAAAATACTTGTTCTGTGCGTTAGCGGTATATGGGGGTGAGAGAGGATGGATCCCCGGGTTAAAAGAAATGCCCTCAAGTTTTACAAAAAATAACATTCTGGATGGATGTCGAGTAAAATAGTGTTCTTGGCACTCATTCAAGAAAGAACGTGGTTTGTTTTGAATGCACCCTCTCTAAATAATAATCACATCCCCCACCCCCTCCCCTCCTCACCCCCTTCCACCACAATATTGAATTGTCGGTCACCGACATATAACCTTTGCCCGTGGAAAGACCTGTAATATTTGTATTAACATGATATATAATTAATAAAACCGGGATTATGTTGCACATTGAATCACACTGTAACCAGTATAAAAAGATCGATGAAGCTTTATGCATCTAACTTGGCTAATGAACTATACGTAGTTATTTTCTGTTTCGCACATACTCTGATTTCCGTTTTGTATATCAATCAAATAAATTATTTCAAAGGATCTATTAAGGACTAGTCCACAAGCGTCATAGAAAATCACAACAGCTAGGCATTGCACACGAAGACATAATCTGCTACAACAGCGATACTTGAGGTTTATGGAGTTGGTTATGGTTCTATTTGATAGAACTGTACTCGTTTTTGACTCTATGAAAGGCACTTCTCGTAGGAAACTATACGACGTCCCCTCGACGTGGTGGGCATTTGAACCGATAAATGGATTTATTCAGTGATTGGTGGTACATGCGAACAGGACATTGACACGGGAATACATGTACATCACGAATGACTACGTTTCAGCCGTGAAGACAACGTCATCCTACAATGCTTCAATGTGATAACCCGGGTTGACTGACACATTATTGTAGGTTACTGGGCGACACGAACGTCCTTTCCCGGTTCATTTCTTGTCAAATAATATTTCTATCGTCCCTGACCTGACTTGGTATTTTCTTGAGTTGCTCGGACAACCATGATATTTCACGAAAAAGGAAACAGATTCTATTCACCTACTAAATGATTTAAATAGCCAGTAGTTTACAGATTGTATAAGTTACGCGTTTCCTACTTTGCAGTGTGTACTAAACGGATGACCTAATTCACACACTGCACTTTATATAACAGAAATAGTAAAATTTCAGCCAGAACAAATTACGTAAATAAACATGGTTTTAACAATAATTTCGCAACGTTACATTTAAAACCAATCTGTCCATGATATTTTCACAAGGCAGTAATATCATAAAGACAGGCTAATACCATATTGGAACTGTGAAGATTTAGAAGAGGACGGACCAATTTGAACAGGGAACTGAAATGAATGTGACACCATGGTTATCCTGATTTGAAAATAATGTATACTCTTCATACTGCATTTTTAATGTACTCTTTAAGATATTAATAACTGTTCGCAACATTTATCATATCTACACATTTCAATTTATAAACCCTTTCCTCCTCCGTGTTGATATTCATTTGATTGAGACCATATTGCCTTAACTATCGTCATACGTACATCTGAACCAACACTCGACCCCATTTGTGTAGCCTTAATGTCTGCTTCAGGCTTTATGTATTGTGCAGATCTTATTTCGTACGACAGGAAATTAGTGCGAAATGGTTAAACAGTGTCGCGTGTGTTCAAATGGTGTCGCTAGGACTGGTACTATGAGATACCCTAGGGTCTATAAGAGCTTCAGCTGGCTCAATGTCCACTAATAACCGGGTTTGTATCACATCATACACCATCAGGAGATGCAAAACTACAAGAGACGGAATGAGATTCTTGATCAGATGTATGTACAAGAGGAGAACATCGGTCGCGCTACTGGATAAAGTTGACTAGAAACAAGATATAGAAAGCCTTGTATGATTTGCATGTAAACAATCTCAGAATTGGCGCAGTTTTTCCAAAAGGTAAACCTTTAGACAAATGAAATAATCTGAGGGAAGATATCACATTTTCATCTACCAACAACGAATCTATCAATATGAGAATGCATTTGTATCAGAACTGAGCTTTGAACGTTCCTATGTGTATTTAAGATATGGGTTGTAGGTTGATGCTGTGGGTTCTATAAATGCTTGCAATACATTACAATACACGATATATACAAATAGCCCAACACTAAACGTGAGCAAAATACACAGAAGCTGCCTGTAAAAAGGGTCTTACAACAGGTATCAGATATGAAGTTATCGTGTCTGTGAACCGATATTTTTAATGATCAATGTTTTGCACTTGCACTTGCATTGTAATGAACATGTACACCGACACACAGGTTACCTTTCGTATTTAATACTGATATATATGTGGGGTTATATATTTTAGAATGGAACAAAACTGGGGCTTTATAACCGCGTGGATTCCATTCAGTTGTTCAAAAGCTGTGCTGTTTAATGTTTTCGTGAAAATGGCAGCCAGTTCACAGATCCCGATAAATGCGTATCAACGGCACGCTGTTTGATTACGGTACGTAGCACTAAAACAACACTATCATATCAACACAGTGGAAGGAAACGGACATAGAAACTAACGCATGTTCATGAACTAAACAGAGTTGTCTGACAGGATGGTTAGGATTCCACGTTACAATAAAATCAAGTACAAAATGATACGTGTGTTCTACGACATTTCATAGTACGAACGAAACCACAGGTATGTTAGTCTACAAAACAAAGGGCTTACAACATATCAGTGATACCCTCAGTCACTCAGAAATTATAGTCGCCTTTGAAAGGTGGCCAATTGCTGTGCGCCACATGCAGCAATGCTCAAACCGTGCAATGTAACCCAATTTTCAGTGATGACACAATTGCCGTATGCAACGTACGATTCTTTAAAGTGATGATCAAACCGCTTAACACAACCGAACACAATAATGGTCAGATCGTTTAAAGTAATGTTGCACTATTTACAGCAGTGGTTAAACATATGTATTCAATGTTTAACTACTTACAGCGATGGTGACACCACTTTATTCAGCAATGCTGGTCAGTTTGCAGTGATATAACTTCCTTAACATGCATGGTAGCTTTCAGAGATGGTCAAGGTGCTTCATGCAAGCTGGCACTGCTTATAATGCAAGATAGGCTACTTACAGCGATGTTCAGGCCTCTTTCTGCACGCTTGCAGTACTCACAGTGATGATCAAGGCGCTTAATGTAGGCTTGCACCACTCACTGTGATGATCAAACCAAATAATGCAAGCTTGCTCTACTTACAGGGATGATCAAACCAAACAATGTAAACTTGCACTATATACAGTGATGATCAAGCCACATAATGCAAGTTGGCACTTCACCCAGTGATGACAAGGCGTTTCATGCAAGAAATGGAACGTGTACCGAACACTTCGTGAAATACAACAGCCTTAACCTCGCACAGTTGCACACGAATTTACACAGTTGAATGTTAAATACATGATGAACAAATATGTGTTGTGCGATTACATTATTAAAATATTTTTGGAGTGATAGGATACCCCAAATGTTCATTTAGCAATGATTACTCATTTTGTCGGGGAAGAACTGTCTGAATAACACTAAAAAGCCACGCAGAGGCTGGAGAGGCAAAGAAATTAGATAAATAAATTTTGATTTGATCGCTTCTCCTGATATCTATATACAACACAGACCGGACTTGAACCTTCGAGACTGGCGAAACAGGTAGTTGTAAGTTCCAACACTTCGCCATTCATACACATGTAGCCCAGTATGTGAGGGACGACTTCCTCTATCTTCACACGTAATCTGGTGTAGGAGAACTGAGAAACATGTTGCTTCTCCTGATATACTTCATCATACTGCGTACCTTGTCCCTGAACCGTCTGTTCAGCAGCCAATACATCACCGGGTTGACTGCACTGTGCGCATGCCCGAGCCAAAGAGCAAAGGGGAGTAATCGGACCGGTTCACTTTCTTCTGCGATGTCAACACTGAGTGATGTAATGTTGTATGGAAGCCAGCAGATCATGAATATCACTACAAGTATAATAAGCATACGAGCAGCACGCTTTCTGGAGAACAGTCTCTTTGTACTGCTGTCGGAGCTTTCCCTGCACATATCATCGCTGCAAAGAGTCCTTCCGACGTGCGCATAACAAATGGCCAGAGTACCCCCCGGAATTATGTAGATCATGAAAAGAAGAAATACACCAAATGCCTGGCGATCGTAATCCTGTGGCCAGTCCTCGATGCAAAACTGCATCACGGTTAACTCCGGCATTTCCAACGTGTCAATTTTTCTTATATATAGCAGGGGTCCCATGAAAATGGCAGATACGATCCAAATAACCAAAATAATGATAAGTGCTTGTCCCGGGGAGGTGACCCGATGTGCTGTTACAGGATGCTGAATCGAGATGTAGCGATCGATGCTCATCGCAGTCAAAGTGAAGATGCTATTGGCCACTGCAATACCTGAAATGAAGTTTGAAACACAGTTATATTCCATGTTGCATATTGGTGTAGATTAACAGGGCTTACCATAAAAGCACGTTTGAAACATATTCCATGTCTCAATTTGGATGTGTATAACTGACTGACTGACTGAGTTTGGTTTTACGCCGCTTTTAGCAATATTCCAGCAACATCACGGTGGGGGACACCAGAAATGGGCTTCACACATTGTGCCCATGTGGGGATTCGAACCCGGGGATTCGGCGTGATGAAACAACGCTTTAACCATTAGTCTCCCCCACCGCCCCGGATGTGTATAAAGGGGGCATACAAAGACCACGTTTGCTACACAATAATATTCCACGTTGCACTGGGGTCTATACAAACAGGGCAAACATTTGAAATTCTGGTAAAATTCCACGATGCACCATGGTGAATATACATTGTGCATACGAAAACAACACGTTTGAAACACAGTTTATATTCCACGTTGCATCATTATATGTGTAAACTGGGCGTTGGAAAACAACATGGTTATATTTCACATTTCAGTATGGTGTACATGAACATGGCATACCAAGGAATCACATTTGAAACATAGTCAATTTTCATGTTGCATAATGATGTATATCAAATGTATATCCAAAAAGTAGCCAATACATATATGATTAACTTTCAATCTGTTTAAACTTTTGATTAGTTTGTTTGCTGTTTAGAATAACAGTTGTTTGACATGTTAAGATATGTCCATCAACTGTTTTGATGTCATTCGTTTGGAGCAGCAGCATAAGGTATCTAATCAATAAAAAAGGTTCCAGCCAAAGTACACAGATGGATGGACATGTATATGAACTTACCTTGCAGAAACACTATAGCTTTACAGAGAAATTCCCCGTATATCCACAATCTATATATAATAGTCGTTATGGCCATCGGCATACAGAATAGTGTCACCATGAGGTCGGCGGCAGCTAGGTTCAACAAGTAGTAGTTCTTGGCCTTCCTGACATTCTTGTCACTTGCTACAGTGCAGATTATCAGTATATTCCCCACGAGTCCAACGAGAAAGATAGGAGCATACAGTGACAGTAGAATCACTGTCCTGTACGTCATACGAGTGTAGTAGCTGTGCTCGAAGTCCTGAAGTATGTCCTCTGCCCCCGTGAAGTTGTAAGGGTATCCAAGAAACGCCGTGAAGTTCTTGGACTCCAACAGGTGCTTGTAGGAGTTGTATTCTTGTTGCTGATCCATCCCGGATGCCACCGAATCGGGGAGGATCTGCAAAAAACAAAAGTCCCATTTATAACCACATATATGCATATAAACATCAGTATCCTTACATCCAATGGTTGAAGTGAAAATGCAAAGTTCAAGAAAGTTACAGCAAGCAATTCGTCTAAAACAAATCTTCAATGGCAATTTTCAAAATATGCATAAATGATACCTATGAAATGACACCTATTTATGGTATGACACTTATTAATGGTTGGTCATTGACATCAGTGGTTGTACTGTACACGCTGTCTATCTGAACGGTCCACTAATACGACTGGGCATGAACGCATCGTGTAACATTGGTCGGAGACTGCAGGTATATTGATCTTCTTCAGACAGAGCTAATAACAATGGAAGATTCATTTCTCGGGCACAATCCAATGGTCAGATGGAGATACATGTAGTACGTTGATGAAGATGACCAGTAAATGACCGACATGTGACCTCAATGACATTGATTTGTGACAACATATTTTGTGAGGCTGGTAGAGCATTAGAGAGGAGCTTTGATATACAGGCATAATATACCAGCAACTGATCACAAGAAAATGTTAGTGCTTATGGAACAGGTCAGGCATATGATGGCCAGCGAATCGTGATGGATAATTTGGCATTGATGTCTTCAGGTTCCAGTACAAATATATTAGGATAAATATGTAATTTTTGTTTCACGGAAAATGTCTCGTTGACCAGTTACACAATCAGCAGCACTTTTTGCATCACGGGTTTTGTTGGCCAGCCTAAACCTAAAATGGCATTGTGTATTTCACAACCTAAACCTAAGAGAAATGTTTCTTATGAATTATTGGGGTTCCTGAGATTTCTACACTAAACACTTCCGTGCTTCTAGGCATCAGTTATCCCAGAGTATGCACAAAGTGAGTGATTCAGAGGGATTTAATGACGTTTGGAACAATATCTCAGTTGTAACACAGCTGCCAGTTTGACATGGGCGCTTTAGGGAAACCCGCGAACATGTGTACACCTTAGTTAAAGTGTGTAGAAAGTGAGTGAGTTTAGTTTTACGCCGCACTCAGCAATATTCCAGCTATATGGCGGCGGTATGTAAATAATCGAGTCTCGATCAGACAATCCAGTGATCAACAGCATGAACATGGATCTACGCAATTGGGAACTAATGACATGTGTCAACCAAGCCTGACCACCCCATCCCGTTAGTCGCCTATTACGACAAGCATGGGTTACATAAGATCAATTTTAACTCGCATCTTCACCGGTCCTATGTAGCAAGTATGACAAACGAAGGTTCATAATCAGGTATATTCTAGGTTTCTAGGGATCCTGGGCGGCTAAAGGACGCAATTCTGCTCAGCAGAACCTATTGATAATGTGGGAGTACGGCATGATTCGGTGATGATTATATATTGATGCCATAATTCCACTCTTGTGTGTCTGAAGCACAATTAAAAGCGCGTGTAGTTATGTCACGCAACATATTCTATTCACTGTGATTCGTAATCGTATCTGTCACGAATTCAGTATTTACGTTGTAAATGGCATGGTCTCATAATGAGATTCGTAAATCTTGTGCAGCACGGTTTAGCAAATGTCAGAGGCTATTTCAGGCGCACAGCAGAGGGCTGTATTGACAACATAATGAAACGACAAGGACGCGGAGCAGTACAAACCTTACAACCAAAACATGACGATTGTACATGTATACATTCACACATCCCCGTTTGTCGACCGTGTACGTTGTACCACTGGCATAAAGGCTTAAACTTGATGGACCAATAAAATCTGCAGGGTAATGCTCTCTGCCAACGATAACACAGGAAATGATGGTAATGTACAATATTGCACATGCATGAATAGGACAGGTTTGACAGTAGTTGATGTCAAAATTGGAATGTATGGACTGCGTATGGAAATGGAAAGTTGAGAGCACAGGTATAAAAGCAATTGGTGAAGGACAACGTTCAGTCATAATGGCAATCCATCAAGACTCAGTAGCGGCTGTTACCGCTATGTACCCGGAAAATTGTTTCCATCTTCCCTTCATATCATGTCACAGGTGGGGTGGTGGGGTAGCCTAGTAGTTAAAGAGTTCGCTCGTCACGCCGAATACCCGGTTCGATTCCCCACATGGGTACAATGTGTGAAGCCCATTTCTGGTGTTCCCCGCCGTGATATTGCTGGAATATTGCTAAAGCGACATAAAACTAAGCTCACTCATGTCACCGATGGTATGCCAGTGTGGAGTACCAAAGGGGAGCGTGGAGTACCTATGGGTGAGTATGGAGTACCCAAGGGTGAGTATGGAGTAATCCAAGGGTGAGTATGGAGTACCCAAGGGTGAGTATGGAGTAACCGAGGGTGAGTATGGAGTACCCAAGGGTGAGTATGGAGTAACCGAGGGTGAGTATGGAGTACCTATGGGTGAGTATGGAGTACCCAAGGGTGAGTATGGAGTAACCGAAGGGGGAGTATGGAGTACCTATGGGTGAGTATGGAGTAACCGAGGGGGAGTGTGGAGTACCTAAGGGTGAGTATGGAGTACCCAAGGGGGAGTATGGCGTACCTATGGGTGAGTATGGAGTACCCAAGAGTGAGTATGGAGTACCCAAGGGGAGTTCGGAGTACCTAAGGGTGAGTATGGAGTACCCAAGGGGGAGCGTGGAGTACCTAAGGGTGCGTATGGACTACCAAAGTTTGAATATGGAGTATCCAAGAGGGAGAGTGGCGTACCCAAGGGGGAGAGTGGAGTATCCAAAGTAGAGTGGAGTACCCATGGGTGAGTATGGACTACACAAGGGTGAGTATGGAGTACCCAAGGATGAGTATAGATTACCCAAGGGTGAGTTTGGATAACCCAAGGGTGAGTATGGAGTACCCAAGGGTGAGTATGGATTACCCAAGGGTGAGTATGGATTACCCAAGGGTGAGTATGGATTACCCAAGGGTGAGTATGGAGTACCCAAGGATGAGTTCGGAGTACCCAAGGGTGAGTATGGATTACCCAAGGGTGAGTATGGAGTATCCAACGTGGAGTGTGGAGTACTCAAGGGGGAGCGTGGAGTACCTATGAGTGAGTATGGAGTACCCAATCGTTAGTTCGGAGTACCAAAGGGTGAGTATGGAGTACCCAAGGGTGTGTGTGGAGTATTTAAGGGTGCGTATGGAGTAACGAAGGGTGAGTATGGAGTATCCAAGGGGAGGGTGTGGAGAACCCAAGGGGGAGTGTGGAGTACTTACGCTCCCTTTACATGTAATTACATGAGTTAGGTTATTGCATTAAACGAGTAACGCACGACCATAAATAATTAAATAAATATGAGCAATAATGACTAGGAATGACTCCTAGAAACGTATTGGAATCAGTTGTCAAAACAATCCCTTTGACCATCCGTCACCGGGTCATCGATCCGCCCGAAGCAAGAAGACCGATGTCGTGATGTTTCGCCATTCGAATAACACATTATCTGGCCACAGGCATGTGTCTAGATGAAACGGAGACATCACAGAGCTGAAAAGGTCAAGACGATGTCTTTGTCTTTCGCTTTCTCTCGTTATAAATGTATGACAAATCTATTTATGATCCTTTAGAAGTAAACACATCTGCGAAAAATTGAACAGGGGCATAATGTTGGCCGCCCTGACATGACAAAGGGGGGCAACTCTTACACAGCGCCACCGGAGTACCAAGCTGGTACAAATATCAGGTATCTTCAAAGCTGTTCTTATTTTAAGGATATAAAAAATCGCTTACTTTCAGTATCGTTTACTTACCATTTTATCGATGTCCCGTGGAGATCGTTTTGGATTTGCATTTATAGTGAACTGTGAATACTTGTTTCCCAAAACATGCATTTGAAAGTACACGCATTCCAGTGGAATCAAATTATAGAGACAGATAATAGTTGAGCGTAATCTGTTGCTTCCTGTTTACTGAAACGTACATCACACAACATGGTGGACGCTGACTGTACACATATACTTTTGAACTATAAAGTACATATTTTATTCTTATGTAAGCATTATAGTTTTCAATATTCGACTGTGCGTGTAGTTAGTTTTAAAAATGTATACCGTTAAAAACATAATCATCACTGAAAGAATGATGGAGCTATCTCGTATCCAGGGCAACCAAAGGTGTGTAAATCCTTCGTTGATGCTGAGGTCAAGTACTGTTGGACCAACAGCAGGCAACAACAGACCAACACTAGGCAAAGGGTGATAAGATATGGGGGAATTCTCCTTGGGTTACTGCTAGTGACCGTCAACGACCAATTGCTCCTAACTTAGAGATAGAAAATGGAAATTGTTTGAAATAATAACTAAAGCCATACCGTGGAAGTCTTACACGAAACACAGCTTAAGTTCGAGATAGCATCACTGATAATGATTTATTCTATCATAAAACTGTGGATAAAAACTTTTCATAGCTAAATGAACTTAGTACCAATGGCTAAGAGTAAGATAGTTTTGGAAGGTCGAAAGACTGCACATGTAACTGATAAAAGAAATAACAGAACTGGTTGCGGCAACGTAAAGATTCCTGGCTTAAGGCAAATGACGTTATTATTAAGTTTCACTTCTTAACTCACAGGTAAAGGCCTTGTCACGGAACAGTTTATCATAATCATTCTTGTGATGTTCATGTATTAGGAACTGAAAAGGGCTCACATAGTACTTTAACACGTGTATTTCAGTTGTAGTTTTGCAATGTAAACTGCAGTGATGTGTAAACATGTTCTACCTTCTCAGATGGTGACCTTTAAAATCTTCTGAAATGGTAAAATGGCAGATATAACAGTACTTAAAAACCACTAACCGCGATGTCTCAGTTTCAAGGATCAAATTTCCCCATCACGAAGTCGTAAAAACGTGTCGTGTCAACAGAATGCCAATATTAGTCCGGTAAAAATAGACTTGCAGTTTTTCACAAATAAGAGTGAGTGAGTGAGTATGGTTTTACGCCGCTTTAGCAATATTCCAGCAATATCACGGCGGGG